TCTTCTGCAAACTGGCTGGAAGCAAGTCTCACCAAGACTGATGTGTCTAACTAGTTTTGGATTCAGGCTGAGCAATTGCAATCCTTTGTTTACTTCCTTGGGAGTAGGATACAGGGGACTCACTGGGACTTACCTCTGAGTAAATGTAGCAACACCACTGCACAGCAAAAATCCACAATAAATACTTTTCTACCTCATCTTATCCTGACCACTCAGGGTTGTTTACAAACATGTAACTGCTGTCTGCTATCAGTAAATAATGGATAGCGAGAGTTTTCTTAAAATTCAAAAATCCTCTCTAGAATGTTAAAAGATTTAAGATTTGTCGGAAAACCTTGAAAGGGGTTGCCACAAGTTAGAACTGACTTGACGGCACATCATCATCACCATCAAAAAGGGCTGACTTCATATCTTTTTCACTTCCTTCTCTGTTGCCCTTCTGAGTTTTTGTTTTTTTACTCCTTTTCCCTGGATTTTCTGGGTCTGAATGTCATGGATTGTCGACAGAATTAAATTGAAATGCAGATAACTGAATTAGTGGGTGCTTTATGCAAGCTTATTGTTTGCACATGAAACAGGAAATTAATTCAATGTGTTTTTTAACCCATAGCTCCAATTAAAAATAGGATTTAATAGAATGCAACTATTCTACGTAACTTACTACTTCAACCCTACCAACACCCAAAAAACCAAAAATTATTTAGTTAAAAAGATTTCTTTTGTTTGACATATCCTTTGTCTTGTCTTTGAGTGTGGAAAGTCTATACTTTGGGACAGCCACCTACAATGTAGGTCTACATGCTTTTGTTTTTCTTGACTTGGAAAATAAGCAGTACAATTTATAGGCTATACTATATAAGTAGGACAACTTGGAATGCACTTTTTTAGATTACATCTCCCATAATTCATCACCTGTATGGCTATAATGAATACTTCAACAGGCTCTGCAGTTCCAGCAGCCTCAACTGATTGATTCTTCAAGATGAATTTTGAGGAGAGAATGCATGAAGTTGCATTACACTGAATAGAGTCTTCGGTTCATAGAGTACAATAAGGACCTTCATAATTTTTAGCATCCAACCTTCTGCTCACAAAACATCTGCTTTAACACAATGCTGTATCTGGTCTTATATTTAATAACATGAAACTGTTATCAGATCTGGGTAAACTTTTCATTTCAATTTGTTTAAGCAAATATTGAAACTGTATAACTAAACATTTGGTTACAGAGGGGCTGATACACATATTCAGCCAATGCTAATCTTATTTCTAGCTCTTCTTGAGTAACATAATACTCCCCAGAAATTCACAATAAGGTTTAATCAAAATGTTTGTCTTTTCTGCCCCTTCCTCTGTTCTTTCTTCTAGGTCAGATTTTAAGTTCCTTGGGGTAGGGACTTGATCTCTTGTATTCCTGTGCTGATGCAAAGTAACAGGAGACCCAAATAGAAGGATGCTCATACAAGGGGAAATGCCCAAGCCGCCTCCTCACTAGGGCTGCCAGGTCTGAAGTTAGATCTTGCACTCTCAGGGAATTGCTATGATTCTCCAAAGAGGAAGCAAGCTTTGTCCTGAGCAATCATATCAATTCATTTCTGCTGCTGCCAGGAATCACTGGCTCAGCATGAGGGAGTTTGTATGTGTGTTCAACAAGAAGGATGGGAGGGGACTGGAAGGGAGCTTGTAGGTGTGTACATATAGACAGCATCATACTAATTGTGCCTTTGAAGTAAGGAGTGGGGCATCAGCAATGTGACTCATGAGCCTTCTTGTTGCACAAGCTCTAGTAGAAACAAGACAGCTAGGCTACTGTAATAGGCTTTATGATGGCCTGCCACAGATGATTCAGAAACGTTAGCTGCATCAAAATGCAGCTACCCAAGTCAAAATCGTACCATCTTATCCTTTCAGCCTGACATGTGCCCAAAATATTGGACAGATCCTCGCTTCTTTATTTGAACATTTTAAAACCCGCTAGATGGCACTATGGTACAATTGATTGTCTACCATGGGCATTGCAGAGGTCAATAAACTGGGATCCTAGCACAGCTGTTGCTGAAGTTATGTTATTAATCAATCCTGAGAAGAGACAGAAGTTCTGGATATGCTCATCTCTAATTTGTAAGCATCTGAATCACGTTTCTCATGAGATCTCATAACAATTCTCATGTCTTAAGAAGCTTACTGTAAACAAATTTAGTTTTATATACGAGGGAGTCCATCAGCTGGGGTTAAGAGTTGATTCAAACAGCACTGCCTCTGTACACACACACACAGGAGGCCACTGAAAATTGTTTCCATGTGATCTGTATAATAGCTATAACAAAGCTGCTTTCCTTGTGATTCAGCCCAATTTATAGGGGAGTTTTTGTGCCTGAACCATCATTGTGCAACACTTGTGTTGAGTCAATCCACAAGGAAAGCCACTTAATTGAACAACCATTTACAAAATGGTGGACGCTATAGTAACTGAAGCATTTGTAGTACTTAGAAGCACAGCTGCTTGCATTCGTAAGTTTATGCTCAAACCTGCTTCAAAACCATTTGCACCTGTAGCAGCATAACAACTCCACTGAAAGGATGTGGCTTCTGCTCACATCAAACAAAAATTGTTTGAGGAAATTGAAATCCCTAGAGTACTCCAAGAAGATCAAGTCACTTAGGTTGTAGTTTCATTTTCTGTGTCAATAAGATCATTTCTCTGAATACATTCACCTGAAAATGAGGGCAGCTTCAGATGTTTGAGCCAAGAACCTGCATCTTCATCATGACCTTCACAGGTGTGTATGTTTCAGATATATGGATGCCCTCCAAATACCCCCACAGAAAAGGTATTTAGTCACCATACCTTGTGGACACCCTTCTGGCATGCAAAAGCCCTAAAAAGCAGTTTCTGACCTGCTTACTTCTGAGTAATCCCACTGAAGATGCAGCAAATACTCTTCCCCCAAATTTGCAGTAGTTAAATGTTTCTCAGAGTACTCCTAATACTCTGGCAAAAAATTGGTGATTGCAATGTTTGACCATAGGCTATTTATTGCTAAAGAGGAGCAGAATCCTATGCATGTCTGCTCAGAAGAAAGTTCCCCTCTCTTCAGTGGTGGTTGCAGTCACATGCTTTGAAAGTCTTCCCAATCCATGTCTCATTTAACAGCAAAAGAGATGAAATGATTTTATATAGGGTTACCTACCACTCTGAAAATTGCATCCACTATGATGTAATGGATAGAGTGACGGGCTAGGACTCAGAAGACCTTGGTTCAAGTCCCCAATCAGCCATGGAAACTCATTGCAGGGATGGCACTGGTAGAACCACCCCTTAAATATTTCATTTAACCGGAAGCCCCTTTTAAAGTTATTGTGTGACTTAATGGCATGTAACACACATATGAATCTGTAAAACAGTGCATGTCCCTTTGGCCTGTATGGAAAGCTATGCAGTGTTCTTCATTGTGACAACCATTCTCTTGACTCATACTACGAGCTCAAGAATATATTACATTCCATGGCCATGAAATGAAATTATGTACTCTCATGTTGCATTTCATGCAGCAGTGTCTGAAAGGCAGGGTAGACATTTGTGAAACAAGCTCCATGGGGTTGGGTTGCTTGTATTCCCCCACTGACTCACAACCATAATTCTGAAATTTGTTTTCATATGCTACTCATAAATACTGGAATTTTCAAACACTAACATGGAAGAACATTGAACAGGCTAAGGTTCTGCACACCAGATAGATTACAAGTTTAAACTTAGTATTTAATACTGACCAAACATATTAGATACACACTGTCACCTTCTACCCTGTGTGTCAGGCAGAAATTTATTTTATTTATTTATTTATTTATCAAACATATTAGATACACACTGTCACTTTCTACCCTGTGTGTCAGGCAGAAATTTGAAGTCTTCTGCTTTATAATAGGAATGTACTATGAAAATAAAAGGTGCACTGCTGGGAATTTTACTCCAGAGAAAATGAAATTGATTTGAAGTCTTCTGCTTTGTAATAGGAATGTACTATGAAAATAAAAGGTGCACTGCTGGGAATTTTACTCCAGAGAAAATGAAATTGCATAAATTGTGGTGGAAACTGCAATTAATTACCAAGGCCCAGATAGATGCTTGACTGCATGTCAACACACTACCAGCACTTTGGTAATTAGCTACAATTTGCTGCCACAGCTTACACAGTGTTACTAATCATACAGTAAAATCCAAACAAGGTCTATTAAATAGATACAGTTTCAAGTTACAGGCAAGAAAAAGTACTGTATTAACGTTATTTTTGACATTTGGTTGTGAAATCTGAGGTCCTGCAACAATATTTTCATCTGCACTGCTGGGAATTTTACTCCAGAGAAAATGAAATTGCATAAATTGTGGTGGAAACTGCAATTAATTACCAAGGCCCAGATAGATGCTTGACTGCATGTCAACACACTACCAGCACTTTGGTAATTAGCTACAATTTGCTGCCACAGCTTACACAGTGTTACTAATCATACAGTAAAATCCAAACAAGGTCTATTAAATAGATACAGTTTCAAGTTACAGGCAAGAAAAAGTACTGTATTAACGTTATTTTTGACATTTGGTTGTGAAATCTGAGGTCCTGCAACAATATTTTCATCAGCACCAACATAATTGACGTTCAGTGATTTGATTATTAAAGCAGCTGACCATGTAATTGGTCCTTATGGGCTTTCCTCCTCCAAATTGTTGCAGAGGCATATTTTAATATAGGTGGTTAAAAGGAAATAAATAAATAAACCCTTTACAGACCATGCAGCGGCTCGCTCCACACTACTGTATTTCTGTTCCACCTCGACTGCTCCGCTTCCCATTTCCAACCAGCGCAGGGCAGCTGCCCAAACTGGCCTCCGTCCCACCGACCCGCCCACCAGCTGTGCGCGCGCGGGAAACGCAAAGCCAGGGACGCCGGGTTGGAAAGACTACGTCTCCCGACATGCCCGGCCCTCCAGCGCTCAGGCACGAGCCAGCTGTTGAGTAGGGCGCCTGCGCAATGCTGCGGAACCCGCTTCGTAGTACCACCACACCCCCGAGGAGGGAGGGAGAGGGAGGCAGGCGGCGGCCGCAGCAGCAGCAGCATCTGAAACCTTAAACCGCCGGAGGAAGGAGGAGCGGGCGGTGCTCCCCCTTCTTCGTGTAGGCGCGGAGAATGGAGTAACCGAGATACGTAAGGGAGAGGAGGAAGAGGGGGGTGGAGGAGGAGGAGGACTTTAGCGCTGGAGGAGCAAGTGGTGGCTCCTTCTCGAGGAGGGAACTCGACGGAAGGACCGGGAGAAGGGAAGCGGGACCATGCCCTAGGGACCGAGGGGCCGCCGCCGCCTTAGCCGCCGCCTCGACGGGCAGAGCCCAAGCTCCCCCGAGCGCCTCCTGCAATTGACATCCGCGCTGCAGCGCCTTGACCGAGTTGGCCAATGGAGCTGGAAAACATCGTGGCCAACACGGTTTTGCTCAAAGCCCGGGAAGGTAAGAAGAGAGCGCCGGGGGTTCCGTGAAGCATCCTTCCCTTTTCTAGCCCAGTGGTCTCTCCCCTGCAGCCGCCCCATCACCACCACCACCATCCGGCGCCTCGTCTGCCAAGCCGTGCCCAGCGGCCCAGGTAGAAAGGTGATGGTGGGGTTACGCATGCATCGTTTGTGTGCCTGCGCGTGTGGGAGGGGTGCCGCTTCGGGATTGAGCTTTCCGGAGGGTCCCCCCTCCTTCCCCCGCCTCCGGAGCTGGGCTTTCGTGGGAAGACCTGGGTTCCAGACGCACGTTCCTGCAGGATTGTTTTTTTTTTGGGGGGGGCTTTCTGTCGCTTGTCAAAGGAGATTTGCACCGTGTGGATTTGCTGAAACGCCCGATCTTCTGGTTTCGCTGCTGAAATGCTCCTGGTTGCAGCCTGGCATTGTTTTAAAATGGTCAGCCGCGAAGGCACTGATCCGCGGGTAGCGTCTAGGCAAATACTTCGGGTTCCCGAATCTCTCTGGCTTATTGGATTGTCTGAATGGCAGGGCGAGGGGTGTGTGTGTGTCGGGCGTGCGCCTGGGCGCGCGTAAAGATCTCGATCGCGGAATGCTTTGGGTGCTTCGTTTTTTTCATATACACTAGTGAAATTTAAAAACGTAATGAAAGGCGTCAGGCAACCTGAGAAAGAGGGGAAAGATGCTTGCAAATGCCTCGAGACAAGAGGCGACTGCCTACCGTGCACCCTGCATGAGGAACGGGTTTTCCACGCTGCTGTAGGATAAAGCAGGGCTAAGGAGGAGGGTCGTTTTGTTTTTGTTTTGCATAAGACGTGGGGGTGGTGATGCGCGATCGTGTGGATGCACCGTGGCATTTGCAGAAAAGGAATCTGCTTCTGCTGCTGTTCAAGGGGCTGTAACGACAGCACGTTGTGTGATTCTCATCTCAGCCCCCGCTAATCGCCAGCACGATGGCCACCTCTGCCTCCGTCACTTTTCAAAAAAAACAAAAAACAAAACCCGTCTGTTTCCTACAACGTCGCGTCATTTGGGTATGTGGGGTGGGTGGGCTTCTTCCTTCCTTCGAAAGACGGGGTGTTTCCCCCTCTTTTCCTTTCCTTCCCTCCTCCCCCGAACCTCTCGGAGTCAGAGGCGGATCTCCTCCGAGAGGCGGTCGCATCAGCGAGGCTCTGGTTCTGCAGCCGGGCTTGCAGTATATCGGGAGCTTTCATTCATTGCGTCTGATGAATGAAAACCTCCGTGTCCCGGAGCCACGTCTTTTGACCCCTTCTCAGGCTCAGGTGATGCGCACACCCCATAGGCGAGACAATGCAGAGGCGAGTACTGTATTCTCGATCTGGGGAAAGGGAGGGAGGCGTTGCAGTGGCTTCCAGGGAAAGCCAGCGATCCCAGGAAGCCAGCGACTCAGCCCCTCTAGTGCCACCCCCCTGATGCCCTTTAATCAAGGCATGGGCGCGGTTGCTTAACATCACTGTTTTGTTTCTTTAACTGCTAACCCGGCCAACAAACCGGGATGTTTTAAAAACAAGCAGGCAGACACCAGGCATAAGATTATCTGATTTAGACCCAGGGCTGATAGTCTCTGCCTTATTTTAAGACTCTGGTCCAGATTGCATCAGAGATTTGGGAGAGGGTGGCTTGCAGATCGATGCATGAAATAGTCTTTCAGCCTCACCTGGCCCACCTTCCACTTTTTTTAAAAAAATAACGTTTTAATGGTACAGTATTATGGTATTCTCTCCTCTGGTTTCTTATATCAAACCTTTGCAATCCTTTTATGAAACTCCTAACAGGGATGTTTCATAGACAGAACTGCTAGCCAAGAAATTCTGGGCATTTTCCTGATGGAGTACCCAACAAACAGGAGAATTATGCTTTGATTTGGATTTCTGCATTGAACAGGGGGTTGGACTTGATGGTCTTATAGGCCCCTTCCTACACAATTATTCTGTGCCTCTGTAATTCTCTTCACACCCTACCACCATCAGTGTATCAAAAGATCATGGAATGTGGTTTGTACAACCAATGACAGCGGCTTAACACAAAATACAGCAATTTCAACTCAAGCCCACAGTTCAAAATTGGTAAAGGTAAGTTAAACTAGGCAGTAGAAAATGTTGTTGAAGCTAATTTTAGTTCTTAAAAAAAGTAAAAAAAAAAACCCAAAACACCAAATCTGAGATATTTCATCGTATGGGCAAAATGAAGAGCAACACCTAAGAGGGGAAATAGGTGTTGCTCATTACAGTGTCAGGTGGTGAATATCCAACTGTCTGTAGCCCAATTTTTGAGGAAGAAAAACACTGCCTGTATTTGTGGAGGTGTAGCAGACCAGCAAGGCGGGCTGCCTACTGAATGCCCAATTGGGGGTGGGGAGTTGGTAAGAGAAATCTGTGATGAGTCACCTAGTGGGTGGACTTTATTGCACAGTTACCTCTTGAAAACTTTCAAAACTTTCAGCAGGTTTTTCAAAAGGAAAATGAAACCAGTGGATGGTTGGTGTGCTGCTGAGCTAGATTGTTTTCCTTCCTTGAACATCTTGGTTCATCTGCAACTACCCAGGCAATCCTGCAAATACCTTTTTAATGGCTTCTTTACATACAGTGGACCCTCAACTTACAGACGGCTCGACTTACAGACTTTTCGAGTTACAGACTTCTTTGGCCGCAAAATGTAGGTTCGACTTGCAGCTGGAGAATCGACCTACAGACCAGGAAAAAAAAAATGGAACAAAAATGGAACAAAAACGGCCGGTTATGGGATTAATCGGTTTTCAATGCATTGTAGGTCAATGGAGACTCGACCTACAGACTTTTCGACTTGCAGCCACTCTTCCAATATGGATTAATTCTGTAAGTAGAGGGTCCACTTTACTGAGTTTTAGATGGTATGTGAGGTGAAGCTTGCATATTTTGAACTGTTTGTCACACTCACGCCTCAGAGTATCTCTTGACTTACAACCTAAGGATGAGTCAAAAGAGAATCTTTTCCTGTGTGCACAGACTTCATAACACATAGAACTGTGGTGATCCCAGGCCCTTACATCTTCCTTGCATCCATTACTATACTGTAGAAAAATTATTTTCACAATTCTCTTCCTATAAGAAAAAAAATCTCCTTGTAGTCCTTTTTTGTTCTAACTATATGAGCAGTGGGTTTGGGATGTCCTGTACCTCTTCCAAATAATGTGCAGAAATTCACACTATTTCATGAACTCTCCTCTGTGGCAGGAATCTTTCTGGCCCTTCAAGCCAGTCTCTTTCATTGTCATCTTTCCTAACGAGTATGCAAATGTACATGCAGCAGTGGGAGATGGTGGAGTGCATGGACAGAAACATTTGGCTATGAATTTCACACAAGTTTCACACAAGTACATTCAGTAATGATTTTTCTGTTGGGTTGGCTCCACAATGTAAAGAATACATTTACCTGATTTTGAGAGATCTCCCTGCCACAGTTCACCCCATTCAGTAGCATCCCTTGGCCTTCCAGGTAGCAAAAGTATAATTTGTGAGTTCCTGTTCTTTCTGAAACTTGATGGGGTATAGAGAGAGTAAAAATCAGTTCATGCAACCGTATTGTCACAGTAAACCTATGTCTTATAGTCATTATTCTTGACAACTGGAACACCTTTTAAACGTAAATAATCACTCCTAGTCAGTATCAGCATATGCAGTCCTGCCATAGATGGACAAATGGTGTCATTCAGTAAAAAGCAGCTTCCAATGTTTCTATTGATGGCTTTAGGCAGAAAATTTATATGTAAGCTGATTTTTAAAATATATATATATATATAAATGATTTAGCATTTGCTATAATAAGTCTTGCCTTAACCCTAATGTACAGTGATGCCCCGCTTGACGACAATCAGTTCCAGCAAAATCGCTGTAGAGTGAAATCGTCATCAAGCGGGGGGAAAACCCATTGAAATGCATTAAAAACGGGTTAATGCATTCCAGTGGCCAAAATGCCTAATCGTCCAGTGAAGATCCTCTATAGGGCAGCCATTTTCCGGTGCCTGTAAAGCAAAAAAGCCATCCTAAACACAGCGGGGAGCCATTTTGCACAGCGGGTGGCTATTTTGAAACCCAACAATCAGCTGTTTTCTGATCATTGTTAAGTGAAAAATTGGTTCCCAAAACAGGGAACCAATCATTGTCAAGTGAAAAGAAGCCCTTTGAAACATCGTTTTGCGATCTCAATAGCGATCACAAAAACATTGTCGTGAAGCGATTTCATTGTATAACGAGGTAATCGTCAAGCGGGGACCACTGTACTTGAATTAAAAACACACACACAAACAAAATTTTGCCTTGAGTGAATTGTGAAGTATTTTATGTCCCTCAGTGAGAATTCCAATGTATTGAGAAGTTTTGGTAGAAAGTACTCTTCTTACAGTGTGTGGTATATCTTGCCTTCTTCATGTTTCCCTTCCGTGTAAGAAAAGTCAACCCTTCCAACTTCCATGGCACCAGAGTGCTGACAAGCAGAACACAGCACTTCTGCTTTGCCACCTTGTGATTTTTCCAAAAATGTTCCAATTCATTAAATCAATCAGGATACCAACATGAGCGAAAAGCAGTACCTTTGTTGGGATACTTTTTGCCTTGGATGTCTTCTGTTGGGTTTGGTTAAACTGTGTGCCCAGTTAAGTGGCTGAAATTTGAGTAAACTGTTTATAACTCTTCAGGTGGCAATGTCATAGCATGGCTTGATTATAGGTCTAATTCTGTATGACATATGCCACAGAGATGTGGTATAGATCAGTGGGTTGGAGCACCTTGCCAAGGGCCTTGTAGTTCAAATCCCCGTGCATCTCTCGTGGGGAGGGGGTAGTTGATTACCTGGAGCTTGTGTGGCTGATGGGTTATGTCCTTTGCCACCTGTGCAGTCTTGAGCAAGCTGCATGGTTCCCGAATGCCATCCGAAAGAAAGACTGGTAAATCACTTCTGAATAGTTTATACCTAGAAAACACTGGGATGATCACTGCACATTAGAAT